GATCTATATTTAAGTCTATGGCTTCAAATCATCAGCAGTTCCTTTCTTTCTCCACACTTTGGCCTTTCCATCACTTTGCTAGAGATTAATCTTGGTCTCATCAGTGCATAAGATTGTCTTCCAGAACTTTTGTGGCTCATCTCTGTKCTTCTTTACAAAMTTCCATCTGGCCTTCTGATRCTTATTACTGATGAGTGGTTTGCATCTCTGTGTATGGCCTCTATATTCCTGTTCTTTGAGTRTTCTTTAAKCATTAGATTGTGATCCCTTCACCCCTGCACTGTGGAGGTTGTTGGTGATGTCACTAACTAATATTTCTGTCGACCACTGTTGTCCTTGGCCGGCCTGTTGGACGTCTCTTGCTCAGTACACCAGTGGTTTAGGACTTTCCAAATTTGAGCTTGCTATGCCCGATGTTTGTCCAATGGCTCTGATTGATTTTCCTTCTTTTTCTCAGCTTCTATAAATGTCTTGTTTTTCTCTGGTCTTCATGTTGTTTTAACAATCAACCTTAAAGGCAACACATTGTCATTTAGAAACACCTGTCAGTTATATGTTTGCTCACCTAAAAAGGCTGTGGTGTGACGCAAACCACGATACTGTATATCCTAAGTTATTTAACACATCTACAAAAAGCTGACATTCTCAACCGCCTCTTTTGATCTTAACTCCAAATGTTTTCGGTGTACAACAAAAATAAGAGAATTTGACATGCTGTTCTAATACTTTTGGAGGGGACTGTGATYTTGTTGTCTTGAGGACAGCAATGAACAAAACATGAACACAAGGAACCATTCAGAGAGTGTCCTTGGTTCTGATGAAGAGTATTGATGTTGGGGGGGGAAAACAGTTCTGAAGCCAGTTCTGCCCTCAGCAACAGACTGAGAACGAATGTGGTGCTGCAGTGATTGGGTACYCMTCCTTCAGCTTTCATTGTGTTCTGTTGCTACGGCTCARTCTGTTCAAARSAAATGTTATAAATAAGTGTCCGATTTGCGAACCTGCCTACTTTAATTTGAAGAAAAAAGAAGCGCATCAAGGTTCTGATGTGTGTTGTATCCGCTGTACAGCTCACAATATGGGTAACGTTTTTCTCTGAGAACATGGTTTCGTTTTATTGTTATATTGCCTTATTGGATTGGTTCATTTTAAAGATTTTTGCTGAAGCTGTTTGAGGARTTGACAACAAGCTCAGAGCTTCAGAACAGAACTGAACAAGAGCAAGTCGTGATCATAAAARGTTAATGTGACAAAGCTCTCGTCGAGAACAATAAAACCATCAGTTATTTATATGAGGCTCTGTGGGGACTTGACTCAAAAAAGGCCACTGCTGTATGTTCAGAATGATATATTGTTGAGTAACAGAAACATGTGACAATAAAGAGAGGCAGAAAACATGACAGTCATGATGACAGAAGTGCAAAAATGGGATGAGAACATTTGTAATGAGAGCACTTCTTATTCAGAGTGTCACATCTGCAGGGATTTGATTTCAGCACTGTTTCCATTTAGTCCGTCTATTTTTCCATAATGAGGCAGGAAAGACCTGCATGTTAATAATAGGTGAGTGCATATAATTATAGCAAATCAGAGTGTTTGTTGCCAAACATTGATGGAGAGCATCATTGTCTGACTCCTTTTAATCAAACAGGTTAAATCCATCAGCAAATCTGGATTTTTCTGGCTTTTTTAAAGGGTATGGATGAACAAGGATGAAGGCTTCGTGCTTCTATAAAAGGCATCGTTTGAGATGATCGTGATGACGCAGTTTGCTCAGAGTGGGTGTTTATAAGAGAGGTCTCTCAGCTCCGTTTCAGAGGCTGATTAGATTCTGAGAGGCTCTCTTGGTGAAAAGCAAGAGACCAAAAGGGATGAATCCTGCTGATGGCATCCTGGGCATGTTCAGCTCCATCACCGGCCAGCAGCAGCAGCAGCAGCAGCAGCCGGGTTTTACGCACAGCGCAGCTCTGTTCCCGCACCATAAAGTCTTCAACATACCCAAAGCTGGTATGGGCATCATCAAAGGTGTCAGAGGGTGCTGGAGGCGGCAGGATAAGACGGTGGTCCCGCGTCGATCCTCCAGTTCTGGGGTTCGGCAGGTGCCCGCCGACGGGCTGCAGAAGGTGCCGGCGGATGTGTCGGAGTTTGGCGCGACCAAACCCACYAACTGCCACAGGATAGTGGTGCTCGGCGCGCCCAGGGTCGGCAAAACCAACATCCTCCGGAGGTTTTTAGGGGAAGAGTATGAGGAGCAGTACGAGCCCACAATCGAGGACTTCTACAGAAAACTGTTCTACATCCAAGGGGAGGCGTATCAGGTGGATCTCCTGGATGCTGCGCGGGAGAGAGACTTCCCTGCAAAACGGAGATTATCCATCCTGACAGGTAAGGAGTGTTTTGTTAAAGATAAAACGTGTGAATTAAACGGAAGTCAATATTTAAAGCATCTTCTTTTCCTCAGGTGARATTTTTCTCCTGGTCTTCAGTTTGGATGACAGAGACTCTTTGAATGAAGTCCATAAACTGCAGAWGGAGATCCAAGCTGCAAAGGCGAAYATCCAAAAGCCAGCCCACCCGATGAGACTGGTGGTGTGCGGCAACAAGGCGGACCTGGAGGCTCAGAGGGTCGTCAGCGGGTCTGAGGTGGGACAGGTGCTCGGTGAGGACGTCCCGTTCTTCGAGACCTCCGCTAAAGACGGCACGGGACTGGAGGACGTGTTCGCGGCTCTCGCCACCCTGGGCGGGCTGCCCGACGAGACCAGCCCGTCTCGGCACCAGATCGTCTCCATCCTGGCCTACCAGTCGCTGTGCGTCGGRAGGAGGGGCCGGAGGAGGAGGAGGCACTCGCGCGGACCGGGCGCGCCGTGCGCCGCCTTGGACCCCCTGGCGCGCCGGCCGAGCTTCAGCAGCGACCTGCGGCTCGTGCTTGGARCAAGCACCAAACCCAAGAAACCCGAGGTGTGTCCGATTCAATGAACCGTGACGCTTCTCGACAAAACAAAATTGTGGTAGTATGCTGCAATGTCACTTAATGTCAGGAGTTATACTCTGCGGCACCTGGCTGGACCGGTGCCTTATTAATGTTTTGTGCATTAAACTGTATCATAAACTCTTTTAATAAAACATGTTTTTATTGGTCATGTTTGCTTCGTCATCACAGCTTAACATATTGTTAGCAAAATATCCCARGAACTAATGAACAGATTTTATTAAAACTGTCAAGAAGTCATCAATAGGTTGACATCTACAACTGATTAACTTTTACAGTCAACTCGATTAATCGTGGCCGACACAACAAAGCGATTTTACTAAACACATAAATGATAATAACTCTGTTAATTTTACAGATATTAATATGAAATTTGGTGTGGTAGTAGCTGAGACTGATCCTCGGCTTATATTTTGAGTCATACCCGATCATGCAAGATTTGTGTCTAAAACTATGACATCAACTAAAATAGTTAATTTTGTTATCTGTTAACAAAATATCTCGGGAGGCACTGGACGGATTTTGATGAAACTTTCAGAAAATAATCAACAGATGTACCTCTACAACTGATTAACTTTTACAGTCAACTCGATTAATCGTGGCCGACACAACAAAGCCACCCTACTAAACACATGCATGATAATAACTGTCAGTTTTAGATATTAATTTGTAATTTGGTGTGGTAGTACAGTAGCTGAGACTGATCCTCGGCCTATATTTTGAGTGATACCCGATCGTGCAAGATTTGTGTCTAAAACTATAACATCAACTAATATAGTCAACTCTGTTATCTGTTAACAAAATATCTCGTGAGCCACTGGACGGATTTTGATGAAACTTTCAGAAAACAATCATTAGTTGTATCTCTACAACCGGTTAACTTTTAAAGCTAATCCAAATTAAGATGTCCTCCAGAGACAACCGATACTAGAAACCACAAAAATGCCTTTAAAACAGTCAGTTCTACAAAAAATGAGCTGAAATCCGGTGTGGTGGTAGCTGAGAGTCATTCTCAAAATATATACTGAGATTTTTACCAAATAGACCACAACTCTATAATTTCTCATGGCGCGAAAGGCGGCGGGCGATTTGCATTCCTTCAAACTGAAACTGGGACAAAAATAGCTACGGACGTAAGCTGGTTGTTGGGTGATGATATAAGTATGTGATGGAGGAGGGATGAGTCAAACATTGACCTTAAGCGTCTCCAAAGCGCAGTGCTGATCGGTCACATTGTTCAGAGGATTACGCACGATGCAGAGGATCAACCATGAAGCCCTCCTACTGTCCGATGTGTGAGACAATGCTGGTTAATCACACTTCTAAATCATACTACTGTATATGCAGGGGAAAAAAGCCTCTCAGCATCATTTATGTAAGAGAAGGCGGCAGGTGGGGAGTCGTGCTGAGATCAGCACCATGGACAGCTCATGGCTCTGTTGCTTCTTCAGAGGCTCTGATCRATGTCACATTTAGCAGAGCTAATGGCACAATAGAACATTTTTCTTTCTCTGTAGAGCACATTTTGTCTGAAGAAACGTTTTACAAGCAGCAGAACAAAAGGATTAAAAAAAATGCAACCCTAATCTTTGAAAACATCTGTTCTAAAAGGATGTCTCGAGTCCTCAGATCCACATTCTTTTTTTTTCAGCACCTAAAGTTAATGACCTTGGATTATATACATTGTTTCTGAAACAAGCTCTATGTTTCACAAGTTTATTCAGTAAAGTGRGAGACGRAGYGACATGTCTCCAGTCCATCACAGGGACACAGAGACAAATGAGGTAAACCACTCGCAACACAAAAGGAAAATCAGCCGAAAACAACTCAAAACATGATTTCTTTAAAAGTTTTATTATATAACGATTACAAAAAGGTTGTAGGTCTTCGGTTTTCAGGAACCAGACAGAGGCTCCTGTGTGGTGTTTGAAGAGATCTGCCTTTCCAGCTCCACCAGTAAAACTGGAAGTAAGCTGTCCAGTACAGCCAAACCYTCCCAGGAGCATCGCAGACCCCTGGAAGGTAAAAAAAAGGCATAATAATAATAAGATAACCGACTTTCGACACAAACCCCAACCTAATGAATCACCTGTCATCAAGAATCAGATGTCCGCTCCGCTGCAGCTCTTTGACTCCGACAGATGCGCCGAATGTTTTATAAAGGTCTGATTCAGGGCTGAACAACTTCCAGTGCTGTCACACACGGGGACAGAGATGAATAWGTTTCACCGATCTTTGGTTTGATGCATTTACAGAGCGTTAAAAAGGATTTATTGTGCGTTTCACCTTGTGAGTAATGCCTTCAGTCATTCTCATTCCCATTATCAGCACCTCCTCCAGCCTGCGGAACAGAAATCATTCAGAAGTGAGATCTGCATGGAGAGGAACAAGGAGGGGCTGAGAATAGAGCTGCACGAGGACACAACGTTCCAGCGAGCGAACACGCGCAGAGAGGCCCTCGTCGCTCGCTCTTTCATCAGCACGACTTCACCTCGCACGGCCGGGGGGAAGCTTCTGGAAGCRGCGGCCGTCTGCTTCTGAGATTACACCACATATTATTCATCACTGCTGGAGGAAGAGCTCACAGTTCGAGATGGCCCAGCTGTATCCGCCTCCGTGTCCCGTGTCCTCTCTGCAGGACTTCACGGATCCACACGTCTGGCTCCAGAGTCTGAGTCCGGGCCTCGCGAACGACACCTCCCTCCCCCAGAGGAGCAAACCGCCCATGTGCTCCTGTTACAAACAAACATTTAAAAATAAAATTATTTCTGTTACTACAAAAGCAACCAGCTGAGACTCAGACTGTTCGCAATCAGGTTAAAGGATTCACCTGGACCGACGCCGATGTACTGTCTTCCCTTCCAGTAGCTCAAGTTGTGGCGACTCTCTGAATTCTGAACGACACAAAGACGAGTCAAAAACACCTTCAACTTTAAAGTGTCAGAGGTAGAAACTGTCAACAACTTTTTATTTATTTATTTTTTTGCTTCTGAATTGAGAATAAAGCCCAGGAAACATAACCATGAAGTTACTGTGGATGGTTTAGGTTTGTTCTGATATAAATGTGAAGAACTGTGGGGATATTTATCACCATGGGTCTCTAAGGGTTAAATAACTGTTACTATGTAGGTGACGTAAATGAGTAAATAACTAAACTGGTCATATCCTGACTCTGAATAATTAAAAAACAATTACTGGTGCATTAACATGATTATTGTAATTGCTGCAGGCTGATATAAAAAGTCTCAGGAAGAGATGCCTTCCTGTTGTTTTCTCTTCCTGTTGTTTTCTCTTCCTGTTGACTCTTATTAAGTTGTTAATGAACAGAATGTTTTTGTGTGAATGCTAATGAGCAGAAAAACACAATTTAATGTAACTTTTGAGCTTCACATAATTGTGATTATTTTTCTTCCCTACATTTTTCCAGACTCTAACTTGTTTCAACAACTCTTATCAAAACATTGAGCTAATTAACGACATGACTTTTAGCATTTCAGCAGCTTATAAAATGAAGGGAGTTATCGTCAACATCCTTAAAAAATACTTCAAAATGTTTATAAATCTTTACCGCACTTTTTACCTTTTGTTCCGGTGCTGCTTTTTTTTTTCAACTTTTTGTGCTTATTTCAGCTTCCTTTGCTAATTTTAGCTTTTTACTGCTTTTCAGCTATCTTTATGCTATTCTTCTGTTAATTTAAACTTGAATTAATTTATGATTCTTTTAGCTGATTTCTGATCTTTTAGGCTTTTTAAAAACCTTTTTAACTACGTTTTAACTATTTTTGCTGTTTTGTCTTTTAAGCTACTTTGTAATTGTTTTCAACAAATTATAGTTTTTTCATTTAAATTCACCTTCTTGTGATTTTTCATGACTTTTTCACCTTCATATTGATTAATTCAGTAAACGTGCTCTGTCCTCGATTTGTGCTAATTTCAGCTACTTTTTAGCTATTTTTCCGCTAATTTTGGCTGCTTTAGCTAATTTGTGACACATTTCTTGTTTTTCTGCAAATGTGAGCGTTTTTACGGTCCTTTCACCTGTTAGTTTAAACTTTTTTCTGCCACTGTTTACTTTTCTTTTCCTACGAAAAGCAAAAGTCAGCTGTTCAAATTTAACTTACATTAACAGTTTTGCTCTTTAACATTTTCAGCAGCTTTCAGGAAAAGTCTTTCTGCATTAAGCATTCACTCTGAATTTTCACAGGAAGTATAAATTCTCTTGTTGCTGCCGCTGCCATTAGTTATTCCAGATTTTGTATGTTTATGTTTGATCTCTAACTGTCCACTCACTGGGTTGTCGGTCTGTTTGCTTCTGTGGAGAGTTTGTTTCTTCCCACTAACAGGAAGTTCTCCTTTCCGATGTCGTTTAAATCYGTTTCAGAAGCAAGTCGATGTCTGCTGAGGACTTACACGTCTGGCAAAGTTGGACACTTCATACTGCAGGAAGCCGTGCTGTGGGAGAGTCTTCCTGGCATGTCGGTACATCTCTGCCATGGCCTCCTCGGCGGGCGTGTCCACGTGGCCGTCCTGGACCTGTTTGAAGAGCCGAGTGCCTCGCTCAAGGGTCAGCTGATACAGAGACACGTGGTCGTCGCACACCCCCAACAGCTCCGACAGCTCCTCTTCCCAGGATCCAACCGTCTGTCCGGGTCGTCCGAACATGACGTCCACCGACACCCGGCCGGGGCACAGCCTCCTGGCCTCCTCCACGGTCCGTAAAGCCTCCAGAGAGCTGTGGTCCCTCCCCAGACTTTTTAAGTCCTCGTCTTGCAGAGACTGAAGTATCAAAAAAAACAATTAGATTACCAAAACACCTCATGTTCAACGAAACCGCGGTTTTATTTACCTGGACCCCGATGGAGAAGCGGTTCACCCCGGCACGACGGAAGTCCTCTAACCTCGACATTCCCACGGGGGTGGGGTTGACCTCCAGCGTGACTTCGGCCTCACCTGAGAGACTCGCCTGCTTGGAGACGGTCTCAAGGACCGCGCCGACAGCGGAGGCGGGAGCCAGGCTTGGAGTCCCGCCACCGAAAAACACAGAGGTGATGCTGCAAGTCAAATTAAAAGGAATCACGTTGAAGGAAGCTGCAGGATGGCGGGTTAAACACTGCAGGTAAATCACCTGCTTACCTGGAAACATGACTGAGCTGCAGCAAAGTTTCTGTTTCCTTCTGAAGGCACTGGGTCATGATGTGGTCGTTGTTCTCTTTGGGGATGTACTTGTTAAAATTGCAGTAGGTGCACCTTCTGAGACAGTAAGGCCACTGGATGAAGGGAAAGTATGTTTAGATTCGCTTGTCTTGTGCTAAAATGTCTGAATAACAGAAAAAACTAAGGCTTACGTGAACATAAAGAGACGCGTGATCTGTGAGCTGCGGAGAGGCAGGAGACTCGGACACATCTTCAGAAACGTCTCCGCCACAGATGCGACGCAGCGCGGGAGAGAAGAGGACACGACCCGCCGCGGGAAACACGTCTTTCATCCACGGTGCCCCCCGCGASSTGACGTGTCGTAAACACAAACACTGCATCAGTTTCTATGCCAACTAAGTGACAACAAACCACGGTGCATTTGTTTCCACAGATTTTTATGACGAACAGGAAACAGGAAATACGTCTGCAGCTTCCTGTTTGTGTATTTATTAGTTTGTCCACACGAGGGCGCTGTTTCACCAGCGCCTAATTGTGTTCAGTTTTTAAAATTAAAAGTTCATTTTCTCTTCATTAACATCTTATTCTCATCAGGAGACAGTGAAAATGAAATCTTGTTTTACATGTGAAAAAATGGTAAATTATCATGTTTTCTGAAAATGTTTCCAATGGTCACACGAAGAAACCAGGATAATGTAGATTACAGTATTTAATTTCCCTTTGGGATTTATAAAGGAATTGAATCTAATCGAATTGAAACTTGGTTGAATTGAACATTTTTCCAAACTGGATGACAAGTGAGGGTAAACATGTGTTTTTACAGTAATTTCTTTAAATAAAAAGTTTATTTTTTGTTTAATAAAACAAAGGTATTGAAGATAAATAGATCTGACTGCTGATCAAARAAGGACATCTGTCCACTGAGCTCAGAATGTCTCTTAGCGTATCTCAGTGTTTGTCTTTTATAATAAAATTGGATCAATTATGTGTCAGCTCTACTTAATATTGATGATGGTTCTTCTGGGAAATTAGGAACAGCATCAGTCTTCTCCGGAAGAGAAATAACCTTTAACGAGTTATTGATTTCTTTCAACTCAACCCGGAAACAAATATCATCTGGTAGAGTGATATAACCTCACAGGATAACTTTAAAGTGGGACAAACAAGCAAATGAGAACATTTGCTCATCTCACTGGTCCAATATTAAAATAAAAGTCTGAGTAAGTGCTCCTCCTCATTACGGTTGTTTTTAGATGAAAAAAAAAATCAAGACGTGTATGTTAGTGAACAAAATTACAACCCAGCATCAACACTTTTTATAGAAATTAGAAAAATGTCAGGGATCAAACAAAAGCTTATGTCAGAGATGTCAATAAAGGAGGGGGTGATCACGGTTGGTTTCTCTCCTCGAGGGCATTTTCCATTTGCAATCAAATCTGATACCCAGTCCCATCAACAGACACAGTAAGAGAGAGGAGAACAACAGGAACACATTTAGACAGATAAGAAGCCCAGTGATCCCACAGCAAAAGAATGAATCTGCGTCAAACAGACAAGAGAAAGAAAGGTAGGCCCTCTGGGTAAAATTCCTCTGTGGATTTTTTTGTGCAGTTTTAGGAAGAGTGTAAACTTGAACTTTTTCAGCTAAAAACTACTCCGAAAAAATGTCTAAAATTGATATAATGACATAAATAAATGAATAAATGTTCCCACAGGATCTACAAAGGAACTGAGGGTGATGGTGGTTGGCAGCAGCGGACCCTCTCAGTTCCAACTAACCAATGCTATAATTGGAAGGGAGGTGTTTTTGAAGGACGTTAGCAGTATTTCTGCCAGCGTGAAGAACAAGGGGGAGCTGGCTGGCAGACCTGTGGCTGTGGTCAACAGCCCAAACATCTACGACAAGGATTTATCCCAGGCAAAGAGGGAGATGGAGCTGAGGAGGTCCATGTGCCTCTGTATACCCGGCCCGCATGCCTTTCTTGTTGCCTTTGACATGGAAACGATCTCCCTGAACGACATGAAAACTCCCAGAATACTAAAGAAACGCTTCGGAGCACACTGTCTGAAACACTGCATGGTTCTCTTCGCTTATGAAGGAAGTCTGGACAGAGCTGCTTTGGAGAACCGKGTGAAGAAGACGGAGTGGTACCTGAGGGAGCTGATCGAGAAGTACGGCGGACGCTTCCACGTCTTCAAAAAGAACTGGAGGGATCGAAGCCAGGACAAGGAGCTGCTGAAGAAGATTGAGTTGATGGTGGCCTCGTTGGGAGGGGGACACTTCTCCAGCAGAACTTTTCAAAAGGCAGAGGACAGCGTGAAGAAGGAGGAGAGGAGGCTCAAGAAGCGGAGAGCAGAGGAGATAGAGAAGACCTGGAATGAGATGGAGCAGCAGCACCTGGCCAAGGAGCTGTGCTTCCAGAAGGACGCTTACATGGCCCAGGTGGGTGCAGAGATCCAGGCCAAAGCAGAGTTGGACAARGGCTGGCTCCGGACCTCCCTGGCCAGAGGACTCGGAACAGGCTTGGTTGTCGGCGCTGTGATGGGGACACTTTTTGGTTGTATCGAGGGGCCAGGAGGGATGGTGCTTTACGGCTTCATCGGCGGCGCCGTAGGAGCGTCTGCAGGAGGAACCGCTCAGGTGGCGATAAAGCACATAGAGAACAGGGTGACCTCACCTCTCAGCTTCAACTTCAACTCTATCTTCATCAACCGCTTCTTTGTGGCTTCTCGCACACGGCAGCAAAAAGAAACAGTGTCCAGGATCTGATCTTTGTTTTTAACCAGTGGTCTGTGGCTATCAGGCTCATTTAATTTGTTCTTATTTTATATAAAACTCTCYTGTTTTTAAATCATGTCTGTCATAGTTAAGTGTAGTATACCTCTAACTCTAAACAGTCACAGGATTAATGAAGAACTATTAAAATAAAACAAATTGTAAATGATTTTATTTAAATAAAAACTTTTGTCGTTGCGTGCACTTTTTTTGGGCTTTCCTCATTTCCTGATATCTGAGTTAAACAGTAACTCGTCAAGGGTGGAGTCTGTTTGCCGTTGCCTAAAGCACGGCCCTTTTTCTAGATAACACACATACCTGAGTACACCTGCTTAGAGCCAACAAGTGCAAACAAGAGCAGGTTCCGTTCACCATCCCCTGAAACCGTGAATACGAGTAGCTCTGTGTGGAAAACACTGACTGGTTGAGGTAAGACCACGTTTACTTCACAGTTTTCCTTTTGTTTTAGTTTTTTTAACAAGTTATCTACTTTATCAGTTTGTTCTGTCATTTATGGACCTGTTACATAACTTGATGTGAGTACAATAAAGTTCATAAGCTTTCAGCAAAAGTACATAAAGTTAAATGTTTGCAAGTTTCAAGTTTGTGTCAAGTATTCCTGATTAGCCCCTACCTGTTTGACTGCATTTTTACCTGCGTCAGTTCTCCGTCAGGCTATCTGCCTCAGATCACAAAGAACTCAAATACCAGAGACAATGATCGAGAACACCTGGAGGGAACGTACAGTCAGAGGTCTCAGTTCTACATGAAACCATGAATTCTCTTCATTATGTTCCGAACGCCTCTGTTGAAGGACGGAATGTGTCTTCTGCTCTCAGGTCCTTGAAATGCTGCACGGCATGTTCTGAACGTTCCTTTGTGTGTCGAGCAATAAAAAAACTATTTAAAAAAAAAACCTTGGAGATTTGTAAAACAACTAATTTAGAGTGAGGACGAATACATTCAGCTTGAGCTTTTTGGAGAATAATTGACTTTTTGTATAAAACCATAAAGACGTAAAGATTATTTACACACTACATTTTTTTTCTTTTTTTGATTGTRTTTTTCAGAGAATGTCCACCATTTGCCTCCTCCAAGAGAAGCACTTTCTGTGCTTCTTGTGCAGAGACATCTTCACCAACCCAGTGACCATACCGTGTGGACACAGCTACTGCTTGTCCTGCCTCAGCCACTACTGGGGACGGCACCAGGTCAAATACTGCCCCGACTGCAGACGAGTGTTTCCTGACAAGCCTGACCTCAGTGTCAACCGCGTTCTGGCTGATGTTTCTGAGAAGTACAGAAAGACTCGACCTCAGAGAGAACCGAAGGAGGAGATGGTACACGTTTATCTTCATTAGACACCGAGTCCCAGCTGATCAGCTGGATGCGTTTCTAAATGTTGACCTTGTTGTTTCCTGTTTACAGCTTATAGATGTTGAACAAATGATTCAGGATAGACTGCAGAAGATAGAAAGGCTAAAAAACTCTCTGGCCTCTCAAAAGGTGAGGTGAATTTTTTCTTGATAACACTGAATAAAGAAATGTATGTGAGTGCTGATGACTGATGAAATCTGCTGAAGAAGCTGAAATTGAGTTGTTAAAAAAAAGGAGCAGAACACTAGCTAAAAGGGCTGTCTAAAATAATTAGACACTAGCTGAAAGCTAAATTTAGCCAAATGTTATCTAAACCTTAATTGCTAGAAAAACATAACTAAAAGTAAAAAAAAAATCAAACAAACAATGACATAGTAGCTAAATGTGACCAGTGGTTAGAAACTAAAAGCATCAAAACAGTAGCTAAAAGCTGCAACATGTTAGCATAACCTAAATGTAGCTAAACGACAGCTAAAAAGAAGTACTTTTTGCAAAGRACTGTTCACAGATAAGGATCACAAGGTGAAAAATTAAAATAAATAAAAGTAAAACTTTTATTTTAAAGTTTGAATAAAAGTAGCAAAACACTTGCTAAAAGCTAGTAATAGGTTAGCTGAAAGCAAAATGTAGCAAAAGACTAGCCAACAGTAAAATGGTAGTCAAGCTAATAGCTAAAAGATAAATGCAGCAAAAAATTTGTAAAAAGTAAAAATATCGAAAGACTTCCCAAAAGCATCAGAAGAGCAAAAAGTAGCAGAAATGTATCTAAAATTTAAAATAGCACAATAAGACAAAATCAGAGCAAAAATTCATTTAAGCAGATTTTGAACAAAAAAAATGTTTTTGAAGAAATCGAACAGACTGTATCTTTCTATGAGCAAAATATTTGTAAATTCAGTGAAATACCTTGAAAGTATGAAAGTTAAACAAAATAATTTCTTGAATGAGCTGATGTATGAATGGTTAAAACAGCACAAAACGTTCAGAATTATTTAAACTTAGAAAAAGTTTAAAAAAAAATCCTACAACTTTTAACCAGTGAATCGTGTTGATTCCCCTCCAGAGCTCTTACCTCCGTGAGGTGCGGGAGAGCCAGAAGGTCTTCTCGGAGCTCGTGAGCTCCATGGAGAGGACCCACAAAGCAGTGGTGTTTGCTATCGAGGAGAAGCAGAGGGAGGAGGAGAGGAGAGTGGAAACACTGGTGAAAGAGCTCAAACAGGAGATCCAGCAGCTGAGGATGCACTCTGACGACGCCGATCCTCTGGTTCCTGATCTGACTGATGACATAAAACAAGTCATAGCAGTAAGCAGKGGACAGCTTCACGATAACAGGATGGATTTACTGTCCGGCTTCAACATGGTTTCTGTCTTGTAGCCCTCAGAGATGATGGACTGGTCCAGGGTTACTGTAGAGACAGACCCTTGTGTTGGACTTACCAGAAGAGCCCTGTCAGACGTCCTGGAGAAAATAAAAGCAGAAGTCAACAGGCTTTCTAAAGCTGGTGAGTAAAGTGTGTTGACTCAGCATTATTAAATTATTAAAAGTATTTTTTAATATAATATTTTTATCTGTTCTTGTTCTCAGAGCTCAAGAGAATACAGAGATATACAGGTGAGGATTTGCCCGTTCACTTGTGTTTTTTATAGTCCCAGTAAAATGTCTAATTCGTTACTTTTTTACTTTCTCAGTGGACATCAACCTGAGTTCAAAGACAGCCCACCCTTTTCTCGCTGTCTCGGACAACAGGAAACAAGTGAGGCACACAGACAAGCTCCAGGAGGTACCGGATAACCCCAAACGCTTCGACCGCGTGGCCAACGTGCTGGCCAAGGAATGCTTCAACGTGGGCAGGTTCTACTGGGAGGTGGAAGTCGGGGAAAAGATCGAGTGGAACCTGGGTGTCGTCAGAGAGACCGTAAACAGGAAGGGCAAGTTCACCGTCTGCCCAGCCAACGGGTTCTGGACTGTAAGCCTGAAGGCTGGAGGCCAGTATGTCGCCAACACATCTCCGGTCAGCGTGGTGGCTCTGGAGCACCGGCCTCGGAAAGTGGGCGTCTATTTGGACTACACAGAAGGCCGCGTGTCGTTCTTCTGTGCAGAGTCTGGAGTCCACATCCACACGTTCACGGATAAATTTACTGACAGGCTTCATCCGTTCTTCAGTCCCGGCCGACTTCACGGGGGCAAAAATGCTGCTCCGCTCATGATATCGACGAGTTTTTGTAACATCTAAACAACTGTTCTTTTTATTTATCCTCTAAGTATTTAATCACTCTTGTCGATTTATTTATTAATTTGAAAAATCTTGAATGAACTACATGTTTAATGTCTGAACAATAAAGATGAAAGAGAGAAACAAAGCAGAGAGTGGGCTCTCATAAGTGACCGAGTGAAAGTAAGAAAAAAAAAGGAGATGAAGGGATTGCTGGGGTTTGGATGGTGGGGATCTGCAGAGTTGGGACAGAGGCTGACGAGGAGCTCGGGAGGAAGGGAGGGAGGGCACGGAGGAACAGCGGGGCATTGTGTTTGTACGCCAGGCACTGGGAGACACACTCAAACACATTCACACACGACACGCTCGCACACGCGCYCACACACAGGCGCACGCTTCTGCCCACTGCCACACAGACTCTTGCTGGCATCTCGGAGGGCAGCCTTCGTCTCCAGTCCAGTCCGAAGCGTCGAGGCTTGGATAGAGTCTCCCAGAAACACTGTGGCCTTCCTGCTGGCTGCACTGAAACCTCCCAGCTCCCAGTGTCCACTGCTGGAACCAACGTCTGAGGCTCGTCTCAAGGGGAGCAAAGCTCAGCGTAGGCCGTTGGAGGTAAATATCCCTAATTTAACTTTGGGTACACTAGCATGCACTGCTGGCTTTGTTTTAGGCGAAAATCCAAAAAGAGAGCAACAGGATAGTTTTTCTTTTATTATTATAGTGTGCCCATGGAAAGAAGCTTGAGTGTGTATTTGTGATGTCATCAGCTCTGCAATTATTCCCTTGTAAGAAACAAATGATTAAAAACACATTTACAGATGTTTCAAGTGGTTTAAAGGATTTTGCTTTCCTTATAGTTTTACATCTTCATGAAGGATTTCAAAGAAATCTACAACCCTTGCCTCTGCTCAGTATGTTTTATAAAATGTAAAAACAACTCCACYGATGACTGCTGACTGGATCCATCCTTCAGTGTTCGGTTTATCAGACCACCTGAACAATTTGATTCACTAAAATCGGTCCAATCTGAGCYCAGGGATGAACAGATGGATCCAGGTCCTGCTGGCCCACTCCACAAGCCTCCCATGAAAGCTGCTTGTGTTCAGAGCCCCTTCATGTTTCTCTGAGATAATCCACTRACCCTGCAAGGCGTAGCTTCACACCCACAGCCGTGTCAAAGAGGCCCATTATCTCAGACGCTTCATGGAATCCACTSGACATGAGCCTCTGTGGTTCCAAATATTTGTGATAAATATGTCACCCATCATATCGAAATGAGGATTAAGTCAAATTTGGTCAAAATGACCTAATTACATTTTCAGATTCCTGGCTTTAACTGCCATATTTTGATACCTGCTTCATTCTGATATCATATGTAAATCCATATATATGATTTAATTTGTCTTGTTGGTTACAATAACACATAAATATTTGGTCTGAATCCAAATTTATGTAATTTTAATGAGGAATTTTTGATGTCCTTATGAAGACATATTATATTTGAATATTGAGATTTCCCAGTTGAAAAGAAAATTTGCTAACAGGGAAAATCTCAAAATTTGAAGACATTTTTTCCTCACAATCAGTTTTTTTGTTGCCACAATTCAAAAAGTGAAAAAAAAATTTATTATTATATTTCAGACAGTTCATTCGAAGGATACATTGATGAGGCATTTATTCATTATGTTTTGACAAAATGAAATTTTTGCAAACGTTTTAATCAAAACACAACATTTGCCTATTTTTCCATACACCACTTCAAGAGTTAATCCTCGTTTTGATGTGATGAATCACATATATGTTCTTACTGTTGATATTATACTGAGCAAAAATAGCTGTTTTTTTTTTATACCTGACATCAAATGGTTCCACTTCTAAATTTCAGGATTCCTGTTGCTGTCAGAGCCCAGCAGATCCCACCATCATCACCATCATCACAAACCAAAGACTCAGAAGTGGACTTCAACATTTCTAGCTACATAAACAGCTCCGCATTTAGTGACTCGAGCCTCTGCGTCAAAGACTGACGCGAAACCAGGACAAATCTGCTCGGTTCAAACAGCYCCTTCCAAAATGGCAACCACGGGAATGCAGCTGCTGGGTCTGATCCTGTCCATCGTGGGCTGGGTGGGCGGGGCCATAGTCTGCATCATCCCCCTGTGGAGGGTCACGGCCTTCATCGGTAACAACATAGTGACGGCTCAGATCATCTGGGAGGGCCTCTGGATGAACTGCATAGTGCAGAGCACAGGTGAGATCCAGTGTAAAGTGTACGACAGCCTGCTGGCTCTGCCCAGCGACATGCAGGCGGCCCGCGGCCTCACCGTCTTCTCCGTCCTGCTCTGCGGCCTGGCTCTGACTCTGGGGGTCCTCGGAGTCAAGTGCACCAAATGCGTCGGCGTCAACAGCCTCAAGGCCCGATTCGCTCGTATCTCCGGCGCCCTGTTTGCCATCGCGGGCTTTCTGTACCTGGTGCCCGTCTGCTGGACGGCCCACTCCATCATCAGGGACTTCTACGACCCACACGTGGCGGCTCCGCACAAGCGCGAGCTCGGCCCGGCCCTTTACATCGGCTGGGTGGCGTCGGCTCTGCTCCTCATCGGGGGGTCGCTGCTCTACGCGGGGTCAAGTCCCCCCGGCATCCCGGGCTCTCCTACCTTCAGCAGCGGAGAAAGTAGTCCCCGCAGGGCCCCTGCCACACAGGTCAAAGGTTACGTCTGAACGCCCTAAAGCTTCGTAAATCCACCTTAAATAACGACAAACTTGTTTTTTTGTTTGTTTTTTTCTGGTGTTTTGCTCCTAGTGAGTTTTCTTCTTTTACATAATTTTAGAGGTCCCACCAGTTTACTTTGGATCTTTGTAAAGCAAATAAGGCTTTATAGAGACATTTTGATTTATTTTGTAATTTCATACCCAGTTTCCTCCAATAACATGTTTTGTGTCTGTCAGTAAAACACAATAAAAAGTTGTGTCCTCTGAGGAAAATGGTGTGTTGCACATTTTTAAAATCATACAATCTTTTAGTTACTTTAGTTTGGAATTAAAAAAAAAACACCACGTTAATTACAACTTTTGACAGTATTTCTGCTGGATGGAGAAAAACAAAAGAACAATAGAGATGGTTGTGCATTTGTTTGTGGTACCATATTGTTGAGGAGCGTGTGTGTGTGTGTGTGTGTGTGTGTGTGTGTGTGTGTGTGTGTGTGTGTGTGTG